AGACTTCGCAGCTGAAGCCACACCACCATCAACGCCGGCCACAGCTGTAAGTAGCCCTACGGGCGATGCACGGTGTGCGCTGGTCTAAAAGCAACTAGGAAAGGGAAAAGAGATGCCGCGGCCGAAACCTTCCTTCGTGCAGTCGGATGCAGCTGAGGAATGACCGAAAGGGCGGAGACTTCCTGGAGGTAAAACGCGAGAGTTCCGAGATGCTGCAATCTCATCCTCCATTGGATCTCGGAGACACGGTCTCCTCGTCTGTAGGCGGAGACCGCCCCGCCGCCGCGAAGCCCACCTGGGGTGAGCTTGAAGTCAGCTGGGATGCCGAGGGCTCTCAGCAAACTGTCCCATCGCTTTCGGTACATCCAGGGGCTCCCGCAGAAAAGTTTGTCCCCTTTCTTCAAACTGCTCCAAGTGCGAAGGAAGAAGTCTCGGAGGGCCCCGTCAAAGTTGACCGCGACATGTTGAACTCTGGGGCCACGTCCACGAGTCTTTGGGTCTCTGATGCAGAGATAAAATCGGCAGTCTTGACTGAGCAGATCATCAGGCGTGAGAAAATCTCGCCTCTCGGCTTTGAGAATCTCTCCAATCCTGCAGGCTCCGTAAAAACAGAACAAAGTAACTGCAGCCCAAGCATCCCAGTTCCAAGAAAGCGCGAGAGCGCACATAGCCAGCATGATGGGCTCCGGCATGGGAGTTCGATGCTTTGTAGGTTCGAGCCTTTGGAACCTCAACTTGGGCATGAGCAAGGAGCTGCCTGAAATTCTGTAACGAACCGCCGCTGTCGTACATGAACTGGCCGAAGATGATGAGCATCTGCACAAGAAGTTCGGGCGAGCGTCGCACCGAGCTCCAAGAATCTGCTCCTGCTCCCGATTCCAGCCAGCTGCGAAAGGACTTCCACGTCTGGGCTCTCAGTCGGGCGGCCCCAGGCTCGACCAGGCGGATGTCGCGCAACACCAGAGGCGGCCGGGGAGCTCGTGCTTTTCGAGGCCCGGGCTTCGTAGCTTCTCCGATCCGAGCCCCAGTGCACTTAGCGCAGCGAGCAATGTCAAGAGGTCTGCGTTCTCCTAACCAACCCGCATCGCTGGCACTGGCGCTTGCAAGCAGAGCCGCGAAGCGTCGCGGGTAAGCTTCCGAAAGCTTAGTCCACGAGACACCTGTCGTTTTGTCCCTTCCGCGGAGAACTTTGTGGGCGGCGTTGCAGCCGCAGAGCATCCTCTTTCCTTTGAGCGAGCCGTTGGTCCTGACACGAGTCGCTCTCTTCCAGCGGGTTCCGAAGACACACATATCAGCCAGAAAATCGCCTTGGTCCTCGAGTCCCCATACAGCTTGCTTCCAGATCCAAGAATTCCGAGGGTTCTCAATGAGGTAGACCAGCTTGAGCTCGGTAGCTAAGGCTGCTAGTCCAACCAGAAAACTCAGCAGATCGTTATCCGTCTGGACCTTAGCGAAAGACTCAGCAGAAAGACCAGGCCGGCCCTGTGGATGTTCGGATGTCCTGAAGGCTCTTCCAGCGGCAGAAGAAAAACTTCCACTCGGTGGCCCCGCACTGAAGCCCCTGAAGGCTCCTTCCTCAATCAGCCAGAGGAGCTGATCTTGCAGCTCGGTCCCCAGCAAGTTCTCGCTCCAGTCATGCGCGACATCGAGGCACAAGACCCAACATGGCGCTAAAGCTACAAGCCCCTTTCCGAAGCCCCTGAAGCCCGAAAAGAGATCCAACCAGCCCGGACCGGAGCGGAAGGCAGTGGCGAGGTCGGGAAAGACTGAAGCGTAGAGAAAGCGACCAGGAGGAAAGCTGTTGAGCAAATCCAGGACAGCTGAGGAAAGACTTGCGTTCCGCGAGAAGGGGAGAAGAGGAGCAGGCTCGACCCGAAGGGAGCCAACGCACAAGTTGGGTGGGTCAAATCGATGACCGAAGCCAGAAGCCCTCGACTTCAGCTCAGCAGCACTGGGGAGGACGGCTGGGCGAACAGCGTTCAAAAACGAAGGACTCCTCGGGGCCTCAGCAAGAGCCTGAATCTCGGTGCCAGGCCCCTCAGGCTGGGGCAGCTTGAAGCCCAGAGCTTCAGCTGTCCCTCGTTGCACTTCAGAAAGTTTCTCAAGCGACCGAACCGTATAAGCGATCAGCACGACCCTCGTTCCCCTCCAGCCCTCAGTAGCATGGAGACGTTTGGGGTCCAGCAGCTTAGGCCCCGAATGCAGGTCGAGGATTTCACCGAAGCGTTGACGCCCTTTGTGGAGCCGCGACTGCGTCCCATCTTGAACCTCAGTCCAGATGCCACCCTTTTTAAAGGAGCTGAGAGCAAGCATACAGTTTGGCTCCCAGTCTGCATTGTGGCTGTCTGTGTGCGGGAGAGTTTCGACGTTCTGGTTCACGGTGAACGACGAAAAACGAAGCTCAGGGCAAGCAGCTCGAATCAGCCGAGTGAAGACTTGCACAGAGTGAACGAAGACGCCGGCTGCGAAGGAACAAGCTTGGCCGCGAGGTTGGCTCTCCCGAGACGGAGTCTCTTTAGGCAGCTTTCGAAAGAGGGCAAGTCCGTCGGATGGCCTCACGTGGGAGAGCCCAAGGAGGTGCCTAGCGAAAATCTCGGGCCCCTGGCTCCTCCGGTTGGCTCGCATCTCTTTGGGGCAGCGAAGGTCGACAGGACCATCAGGCAGGAGCTCGGCTTCATCAGGAAGCCCCGTCACTTGTGAAGGATGTACACCATGCTCAGACAGGAACCGGTCAAACTCGACAAAGCGTCCTTCGAAAGCCTCACGAAGCCAACAGGGCAGTTCGATCTCTGGTTCTCTGAGGCCGACTTCACGCGTGGGGTCGTCCGAAGGGTTAAAGCGAGACCTTATAAATCCAAAGCTGGGCCTGACACACTCCTTCTCAGCTCCTTGTTGATGCTAGGCGAGCAACTGCGGCCTTTGACGAAGCAGGCTAGGGAGACTTGTGAGTCCTGGAGGTGGATGTAGCGGCAGGCTCCGTGTTGCATGCCAACCCTCTCTTCTCCGAAGATCGCGGCTCGCACCTCGCCGATGTTGATGTGGACCCTCCGGTCCCTGGAGCGGACAGGGCCCAAAGCACGAAACTGAAGTGCCCTGCACAGGGTTTCCCACAATGGGTGGGAGTCGTAACTTTCGCCGCTCTGCATCTCTTCCCCATCCTCAAGCTCCCCAGTCTCTCTCAGATAGGCCTGCAAAGCTGAGAGAAGTTTATTCCACAAACCCCTCTGAAGACCATGTCGAGAGGCTTCGAGAGAGAACGCCGGCGGGACCGAGGCAACAACAGCAGCTTCCTTGCTCGAGGAAGAGTCAGTGCAAAGAACGACCGGAGCCCCAGGGGCCCTCATGTCAATGTCTGCCTGGCAAACCAATGCAGCACAGCACAACAACTCGGAAGCCAGAGGGCCTTGCACAGGAACGAAGACATCCCGAGACAGCTGTCGCTGTGCCGAGTAAATCTCCTCCAGGAGGCAGAGCAATCGCCTGCGAAGTTGCATGGCGGACACCAGTCCCCCGGCAAGGATCTCCAGCATTCCAACCGAGGAGATGCCACCCGCTACAACTTTGACCAGAAAGGATGCAAGGGGCACGGTCCTGCGAGGGTGAGGCCTCAGCCTTCCTTCAACTCCATCAAGAAGCCCGCCCCAAAACTCGCCGACCAACGATCGGGACGTGGCTTTGCCTGCATGCCTGGGCAGACCTGCACTTTCATACCCAGCGATGACCTGTTTGAGGATGCTAACCCCAGGGGGCTCAGCACGCTCAGGGCTCTCTGCAGCAGCGGGGCTTCGGGGAACCTTTGGCACCGGATCAAGCAAAATGAAATCATCGATTAAGAGCCCAGCTGCAACCTGGCCTGGCCTGGGAGGTCGCTGCTGCAAACACACGAAGTCTCGCAACTGCAAGGTAGTGGAACGAAGAATGCAGGCGAGGTGTGAACATTGCCCCATGGCGACTGCATTACAGTCGCCCATTGCCATAGTGGCTAGGCAAGGGACCAGGCGGCCTTCCTTTCCAGAGGGGCAGCAGCTCAGGTGTTTCACTTGATCATAGCTGAACTCGGCAGCCAGAGAATTCCGAAGGCACCGTTGATGCGAGATGATAAACGAGTGATAAAACTCACGCAGATCTTCAGTGTGCGTCTCAAGATTGCAATCAGGAGGCAAAATGAAAAACTGCAGCTGCTCGAGAGTCCCCAGTGAACGGACCCACCTGCACTCAGTGTCCTCAACTGAGTTAGGCGCTCGAGCGTCCAATATTATCCTGTCGCGAGCCTCATCTTTAGCCAAGGCGAAAACTCCGTTTCGGAGCCGAGGGCGGAGCTCAGATGCAGGCACTAGCTTCAGACGTCCCGATGCATCTAAAACCTCAAGTAACCTAATCGCGTTGGCCCGGGTAGCGTGGACTCTCACTTTAGGCAAAGAGGCATCAGGAGCCAGAGGCCTGGCGAACAGCAAAGGGTCCTTGTAAACCTGGCGATTGGCATTGTCCAGGAAAGGCACGGGATCAAAGGAGGGCCGGCCCGGGAAGTTCAGGCGAGAGGGCTCGACAGGTCGGGCATAAGTCGGTTGCGGAGCCTTCAGCCGAGCTTCCTGAGTCAGAGGGCCACTGCTCAAAGAGGCCCATTCGTCCTGGCAGGCATGCAGCAGATCCTCAAGGACCTCAAACTTAGATGCGGAGCGCCCCATCTCCTTGGGACCGAACGAACCTGCCGAATTCATTGTGCTCCAGAGCTCGGGCAGCTTTCCACTGCTTCGGCGTAAGTTCGGCTCCGAGGTGCAAAGAGTGCCCTCCCGGGCAGACTCTAGGTTGGCCCAAGTACAGCCAGTTCAGGGTCAGCACAACAGCATTGCACCCTAGCTGCAAGGCGTCCCGGGCTTTTCCTGCTCCACCCAGCAGGAGTGAAGGGTAAGGCAAGGGCATGGGCCATACTCGCCGCGATGCCCGACCTTCATTTGAAGATGTAGGCCCCAGCTCTGCACCGGGTAGCAGTCGCAAAGAATGAAAGAAAGAGGAAAAAGGGCCGTCCGAGCGGCTAAGGGCATCGAAAAACTGACTCCACAGATCGCTTGAAACCACTGTGGGGGCCCGGGCTCCAGGAGCCGACACAGACATGGCCTCGGGGCCGTCGGCAGAACTCGGCTGAAGCAGTGCAGGAGGGGAAGGCTTATGGGCCTCGGATGCAGGCTGAGGATTGCTCTTGCCAACGGAAACGGCATCCGCAGCTAGGGCTGTAGGCAGCTCTCCGGAACAAACCTGACGGCCCCCGACTCCAGCTATACCCAAACCACCTTCATCAACCCCTTGCCCATTCCTTATCAATGGGCTCGTGGTGGCATGCCGTGTGCTCAAGCCTACGGGCGAGCTGCTTGATAAAATGCTGGCATCATGGCCGGGATAGGTATTCTCACAGAGGGAGGAGCTCAACCTAAAGGGGGAGCTTAAAGAAAACGAACAGCTTTGCTCAGCGATCAAAGGCGCAGCAGAGCTGAGGCTCAAGCCCGGAGGCGAGCCACTTGATAAAACCTCAGGATTAGGGGATCGGGGCTCGGGAGCGGGATTCGCAGAAGGCTGTCGGGTCGTGCCAGCGAGAGAGGGACTCCATCCTCCTCGCGCGAAGAATGACGAAAAAGAGGCATCCCGCTTACAAACCTCCCAAGCAGTCTTAGCCCCGAAGCACCCTCCACCAAGCTCGGTCAGGGCTTCTCCCCGTCGCCCTTTCCGTCGCCTTTCGTCTTCGGCTTCCTTGGTGGCCTTCGCGGCGGATCCGGCTGGCCCCCTTTTGGTGCATCTCCATTCAGGACCGAGCCGCTCGAAGCTCCTCCGCCGGAAAGGTTGCGCTTCGCAGAGTGAAAGGCATCTCGCTCCTTCAGCCTGCTCATGAAAAGGCTGACCCATCTTTGGTCCAGCAGTCGAGTCTGCTTTGCCTCCAGGGGATCCAGCGTGCGAGGTGGCTGGAATGCAGAAAAAGGTGGAGCACTTTCGAGAGAGTACTCTGAAGCTAGGAGCCAGTTGCCCCCATCTATCGAAGCCTGGTCGAGGGCAGCGATTCCTAATAAGGCCATAGCTTTCGCCTGCTCTGGAGATCCCGAGTTGATCGCGTCGACAATCCCTCCGAGCAGCCAAGCATTCCTGATCGGGCCCGCATATTGCTGAAGGTGGGATCGGTGCTCGATCCAGCCTCGAGCGGAACATACAGTGGCTTCCTGCCTCGGGCCGCTCTGAACCTGAGCGAAGTCCTCGGACATCAAACCTTCGATCGAGGCCGAGATCTGCTCCGGGGCATTGCGTAAGAGCGCTCGGAGCTTCTGGTACGCAGCTGCTTTCGATCGGGTGGCCCCAAGACCACCGGCTCCTTCTCCGCCGCCACCGTCTGCCCGATCCAGGAGGTGCTCGAGGTCGTTGCTTTTCTCGCGGTCCTTCTGCATCCCGGCTAGTATCTTGCTCATAGTGACAACAGCTTGGCTCACCGGATCGCTCAGTGCAGGCCCATCCGGAGGAGAAACATCCTCTGCCTCCTCTTCGGACTCGTCGAGGGCGTCCCTCGGCTTCGCCTTCGCCTTCGCAGACGAAGGCCTCGCGGCTTTCGGCCCAGCACCTGTCATAGCGAGGTCGCTCATCCGCCGCAGTTGCTCCTCGGGGATGCCCGCCTGGCGAGCAGCCACCACGACTGTCGGGTCCAGCCCAGGGAGGACGGCCTTCCCTTTTATAGGGCCCACGCCTCCCCCTTGGGGTGCTTCTTTGACAGGCAAGGTCGGTTTCCCCCTCCCTGCAGAAAGCAGCTGCTCGATGCTCTGTTGCATTCGGGTGAGGCCTGACTCCAGGCCAGTCAAACGATCCTCCCAGGACAACTCTTCCTCGTCGGGGTGCTCGTCTCCTGCAGCCTCGGCTCCATAACCTTCTGGAGCTTCCGAGCCGCCTTCCGCCGCTGTCACAAAAGCAAAGTGCTCGCTGGCGATAGAGCTCAGCGCCGGGCCAAAAGGAACCATGTTCACAGCGGCCAGGGGTCCAAATCCCTTGAAGCAGCAAGCGGGCTCGTCGCCTTCCTCGTAACTGATCTCGCCCACAAGTGAGTCGCTCAGAAGCCCCAACCACACTTTCAACCTGTAAGCGGCATGAGCCTGGGCCGGGTCTTCGGAAGAGCCCGCCACCACTTCGCAATGCACGCCCTTCTTGGGCGACCCAGGTGCAAGAAGCCTTCTCGCGCTCAAACGGTGCCATGCAGTCTGAGGAAGGCAAACGAGCAGCTGACCTTCAAACACACCTATGGCGACAACTTGCACTGTCGTAGGGGCTCCCGCTGCTGACTTGGCAGAAAGGGTGCCGATATACACCGCTGTCCCTTCCAAAAGAAAATCCTGAACGCCCGGAAAGGGAAACGGACGGTCAGGAGGTACTCCTTCAGATCCACTGCGGCTGGCCATTCAAGCCACCCGCGGGCCAGGCGAGCCCAGCTGCACGTAAAGCAACGGATACCTCGGCCTGAGAAGGCAGGCCCACAAACACGGACCGACCTCGGTCTGGGCCCCGGCAGCAGTGTTGTCGCACTCCGGAGAAGGAAGAGCAGACCAGAGGTTCGGAAGCTCGTTGCCCCTGAAAGTTCACAAGGACTATATAGTAACGGGACTGCAGGGCGAGGCGGTCACGGCCCGAACTGCCTCTGAAAGCACCAGAAATAGCTCGAGTCAACCAAGCTCCCACGTCCTCGGCTATGGCCGTACGAAACTGAGAGGTTGCCACCTGATCCGGGAGAAAAAGGAGGCTCAGACCTCCTCGTTGCGGGCAAAGGCGAAGAGGAAGCCAGATGGCTTTGCACTGAGGGAGAAGCTCGAGCTGGGGAGAGCAGCGACTGAGGGGCGCTCGGCCCTGCAAGGGGTGCAGACTGGGAGAGATACCCTCCACCTGATCCAGTCTCTCGTGCCTCGCTTATGCTAACAGTTTCAAGCTCAGCTTCAGCTTCCAAGGCAGCAATCCTGGCCTCCAGGCCCGAAACAAGAAGCTTGACAGCAGACAGCTCCTGGCGAAGAGCAGATATCTCAGCCTGGAAGGGCCCCGAGCTCATTCAAGGATCCGATACAGCTCGGATAGCAGCAGCCTTGCAGAATGCCGAAGCCGACGAAGTGCTAGCAACCGCAGCAGGAAGGCCAAATCCAAGAGTGGCCCGACTAAACCCTAGACCTAAAACTAAGGAGGGGAGATGCAGACCGACAAGACCTCCCGAGGCCCCTCCGGCTACGATCGGCAGGGGGCGCATCCACCCCCGCTACAGCCAAATCTTCGGTTCTCGCAGCGAACATGTAGATCATGCCGACCCTCGCCCAAATAGACTGCAGATGAATCAAGCACAAACATACACAGACACGGGGTGCGATGCACATGAAGAATAAAGCTCATGAGACCATGCCTCCGACAACCGGAAACGTCGAGACTTGCGAAACAAAGCTTTAGCCTCAGGATCCCGAACAACCTGCTGAAGGTATCTTTAGAAAGGGCTGAGAGGCTCTATGACACTGCTTTGGCTAAGCGCCTTGTGGTTTAGAGGCTAATGTGCACGTAAGGAAACCTACCACAGTTGAGCTACTCATGCTGGTCTGTCTCGGTGCTGCCTCGAACTAGACATGCTTCCGGGTGTCGCTCTCTGTTGCAAGCACCAGGTAGACCATCGTCACGGCTCATGTGTTCGTGGGCTGCTGCACAAGCAGGATCCGACAATCAGATTCGTGGAGCTACCAACCAGATCCGCCGCGGGTTGAAAAGGATGTCACTATCCATTCGGATCAGCTGGTGTTCCGAACATGTTCGAAAACAAGTCCCAGAACAAGGAGGAGGAAGAGCCAACTCTGCAAGCCGAAACCCGCAGGAAGGGCCAAACCTAATCCATAAGATTAAAGATTTGCTCTCAAGAAACCGATTCTTTAAAGAGTGCACGATTGCAAGACAAACCATGACAGTCAAGCGTCCCATTGCCCCAGGCTGCATTGCAATGTGGCAATGATGCTCCTCACGAAACCCCGAAACTTAATCCAGATGTGTTTCAGCCCAAAAAAGACCATGAGACCTGACGGTTGCAGAACTCACGCCCCACAACCCTCGAACTCGAACCATCTTCGCACTTGTGCCTGTGCTTGGGCGGCCGGTGATAGCACCTCCAAAAGGAGCAAGCCACAGTGGGTCAGTCAATGTGGGAGAGTGCGATGGTCTCCATGGAACCACTACACAGCAAGAGACGTCGGGTGATACATCGAAGGCGGTGATGGATTCTCACCCTGCGGTCATGACATCGCCAGACATGACTGCGGACGTTGTGTACATCGCCAGGTTTGAAGAAAGCATTCAACAAAGGTGCTATCAAGTTGTTCTTGGTGATAAGCCTGTCAGCAGGAGTTCTTGCGACAAGAGCTGTTGAGAAGAAGGGTCAAGCACCTGCAAGCGGCATGTCTTGTGAATTGCGGGCGTTTTGACAAACTCACCGAAATCGCTAGCAAGTGAGGCATCGCTGTTTGTCTCCTGCAGAGATCCGGCGAGTGGTAGTACTGTTGGGGCCCGAGCTCTGTTTGGCGCAACAGTGGTGCATGAGCTTGCAGCGTTGGAGCAAGCTCGAACGAACGGGCACTTGGGGCGGGCCTCTCGCTCCGTTGCGACAGTCACTGTTGCCACGGACGGTAAAGTAAAAGCAAAGGAACCACCAAACCCGAAGGCAGCAGAGATGGCGCACCTTCGCCTTTTGCTGCAGATGTGCTCCCTCTGCCGGCCACTCCCAAAGGCTCAGCCGCTGGTAAAAGCGCGTAGCCAAGTCGGACCTCGGAGAATTTGGAGGCAACTTCGGGTCACAGTCATTTCGAAACGCTGCAGTCGCCAAACTTAGCACGACTGCGGCGCCGGGTCCTTTCACTCACTGGCAAACAGAAGCCGTGACGTAGCCTTGGGTGGATCCGTCTCGTGGACGAGATACCAAGTCCCAAACTAGAGCACAGGGGCGGGTTTAGCCTTTTGCCTCATCTGGGCCGGCATCAGCCGAGAAATACCTGTTGCCAGAATGCCACCAAGCAGCTGCCTCCCGTCATCCAGCTCGGAAAACCACCGCACCACCTGACGGCAGGGTTGATCCTATTAAGGCCCATCTGTTCCTTTGGTACTGATGGTCTCTTCATGCCGCTGCCAGGCGTGTGAGGCAGATGTCGGTCGAAGATGCTAGCCAGGTGATTAGATCAAAGCTGCTGTGTAGCGGGTAGGTCTAAAGGAGGTTCTCAGCTGCGGGCATCTTTGCAAGATATGTCTCCCTTCTTCCTGACGTTGCAGCAACTATCAGCCACAGTCTTGATACGTTCTCGAGTGTGTTTTTTCTGGGGTGGACTATCGCGCGCCTCATTCATCAGCTACGGCTGCAGTTCTGGCGGTGCATGGAGCCTCTTTTTCATCGTTTGCCATCTCTCGAATTTGGTGCTTTGCATCCTGCGATGCTGCACGAGTGCCACAGGGAGGAATCATGTCGTCCACGGAGCGGCTGCAATATACAATGGTAAATGGTTGTTCTGGGGCCTGTGCAGACTGTGACTTCTTATCTTCCACATGCCTGCAGCCGCTACAACTGTTGACGGACTTTTCTTACCGAGATGCTTCCCGGAACCTTGAACCTGTCCAGGTTGAACAGGAAGCAGGTCCGAAGAAACACCCCTTCATGACGTAACGATCTGGCAGGATGCGATCATTGCTAAATTCATACCTTAGCTACCTGAGTGTTGAAGCCTGGATTGGAATAGACAAACCCCCTCTGAGCCCCATATAGACTCTCAAGGCCCAGTGTCTTGATCCTCTGTGACAGCCGCAGGATGTCAGCAAGGCCGCTTGTGACCCGCTGGAAACGATTGGGATCATAGCGCTCAGAGCACTCAGAGGCAGACTTCGCCTTGATGACACAATACATGCGGCGGCTGAATCCGGTTCCCTTCTAGTCACGTTGCCTTCCAGGCTGTAAACCAGGCCCCATCGGCTTGTTGTTGCAGCAGTAGTGCAGCTGAAGTGCCTAGGAATTGCCCGACATCTTCATTCCAACCACCACAATCACAACGACTACCACAATCGCGCCGATGATGATCGCTGGGTTCCTTAGGCAAGCGGGCTCTCAGTCAAGAAGCCCTGCTGGCTACGGTGTTTACTCCGTTGACCATGTGGAGCACTTTCCAAAACTAGCATCACGCTGCTGATGCCCATGCAGACAGGATCCGAAACAAGAGCCCGAGGCCCTAATGCAAAAAGGCTGTAACATGCAATATTCATAGAAAGAGTAGATGTCAACTAGCTTCCTGTGCAAACATAACCCCATAATCGGCAGTTACCTCTACCCAGGACGGACATCTCAAGCTCTCTCAGCAGAATTTGTCACAGCATCCCTGTCATGCTCCTCGCAAAGTCCAGGCCTAAGCAAAGCTAAAGGGCTTGAAACTCAACACTTTTTTTCTACACCAGGCATCAGCCCATCGCCGCCCCCACCCGGGGTCCCGCCCTGCACGCCGTGGCGGGCCCGGAGCTGTGAAGCGGAAAGCTGGTCGTCCTTGTCTGTACCTGACGGTACTCGTTACCCTCCACGTGTGCCTTTCAATGATGGTAAGTCAAACATGTCTCCCCATATGCTGTTCGGACACAATCACACGTACCTTTCGAAGCTTTGCCCTAGTCCCACCTCCTGCTTGGTAACGTCTGCGAAGCTCTCCCCTGTCAGGGCAAATTGCATCACTGTTCAACGACCGCACAGCCACGGATGTTCCACATCCAGAAGCTGGTCACACTGGCACTTTGTTGCCCCGAAGTGCTCGAACGGCCCCGAGAACCCTACCGTATTCATGACTTGCCCCTGGTGACTGTGGCGAGAAGCTCCCACAACTCTAGATTCCAGATCGCTCCTCATCGTTGAAAGCAGCTGTGCTATTGAGAAACCCCGAAATGCAGAATCAGAGCTCCTAGCAGACATCCCTGCTTTCGACAAGCCGAGCTGCGCGGACTGCTGATCATCTGCCATCTCCTTAAATCAGCAGTGCACCAGATGCAAAAGCGGAAAGATATCTATATGAAGCATGTCTATATAGGCACCCTTCTGCCCCTCGCAAGCCGCAGTGATCCGTCTCACTTGCAATGGCCCATCCGAGATCCGGCTCTTAGCCAAGCATTTCACCACTCGCCCTCTTCCTCTTCTCCTTCCACCACCCTGTGAGATATCATGCAATCGCGGCTGCTTTGCAAGCCAACAATTTGGAGCTTCTCAACCATTCCTTTGGTTAGGGTTTCAGCATCTCCTTTTCGACTTTGGAGCTTCTCAACCAATCCTGTTGTTAAGAGTTTCAAAACCTCGTTTTAGGTTTCAGCATCTCCTTTCGGGTTGGTGTTTTCCAACTCTCTTGTTTAGAGTAGCAGCTTCTCCTTTCAGGATATAGGGTTTGTTAGTAGCAGCTTTTTTTGCAGACTTTGGATCAACAGTGGATCAACTATAACATCTTTTTTTGGATTTGGAGCTTCCGCGGCCACGCGGCCTGCGGCTGCGGCTCGCTTCCTCGCGGTCCACGGCCGCGGGCCGCAGATCTGGATTTTTGTTGCGTAGATTCGGCCTTGTTGCAGCGATGCTGTTTCGCAGACGTGCGGTTTTTTGAGGCCAGGCCTTCGGGTCCCCCTTTTCTGGAGGGGTTAAAGCTCTCTGTTCTTTCTCCAGGGCGTGCAAGTCTGGTCAAGGAGACACCACAACAGGGGCATTCCGGATTTCCGTCGTGGGCGTTGTGGTAGCAAGAAGTTGAGAGTCCGCCGAAAGGACTGCACCCCTCACCCTGCCCCGGTCAGGTCGCCGGGCATGAAGCACGCCTGCTTCTTGCGGACCAGTGGAGGGGTGTGGCCATGGGACTGTCCTTGCCCCCGGTGTGGAGATGGGACAAGGGTACTTCTTGCACTATGCTCATAGATGGGAACAACATTCAACCTCCCCGTTGGGACGGACACTCACGGCAGCATGGCTCTCCGGGTGTGGTTTTGCCTCCTCGACACTGGGTCAGCCGGGCAACTGGAAGAGTGAGAGGATCAAAGGCTGCCGAGTCTCTTCTCGCAAAGGGCCGCAGGGAAGCTTGTGCAGGGCTGTCCGGGCAAGTACCCAATGTCGAAATGGCTGCAGGCAGAAGGCTCCAGGCTGCTTTTGCGAGTCCAGGCATCCAACTCACTGTGAAACTGAAACTCCGAGCAGCCCGCTGGTGTAATACCCCGCAGCAGGTGATGCAAAACATGTTCTCTCGGTCGGATGCTGACCAAACTCGCTTCAATCTCAGGCTTCAAAACCCAACACTCGAGCATACCACCTCCATCGCCACCAGCAGAGCCCACGCGAAGCCGCCAGGAAATCCAAAGGCCGTGCCCAGCAGTTGCCGTTGCCTCGCAGACTAGCAGGCACAAGATCGGCAAAACACCCAGCACGACTCTCAAACTCCCAACATCAACAGCAATGACCAACGACCACAAATGCAGACCACGGTGACGACATCCAGCAGAACACTGCCGCCACTGACACCACCACTACAACGACTGCTGCCTAACTCTACTGACTTCACTTCTACTGAACTGCTAATTCTACTGAGTTCGCCCGCCTGGGTAGACGGCTCAGACGAGCTATTCTGGTATTGTTATGACTTCAACATATTGCGATGCAGGTAGTAAACTTCCAGGTTGCCTCTCTCAAGGTCTGTAGTTCGCTCGTTTCCTAGATGAATGCAGATTGGACACTGGTGCCCCACAAAAACAAACACGCCCTAGGCCCAGAGCCTCGCTCAGCAACAAAGGGGCCCACATGCAGCTTCGTTTCAGCCTCGCCCACAGCTTTACCTCCTTGGCCAAGGTCCGGAAAGCCGCCACGGCCTCCTTGCAAAGAGCAGGACAAAGGTTCGAATGTTTTAAGATGCTCCTTGGGTCCAGATTTTGCATGTCCATTCTTCTCCTCGCGCCCGGCAGCAAAGGCCGCACGGAGGAGGATCCAGGCGTCCAGCGCCGCGGAAAGTCCCACCTCGTGGATCTCGATTCTCACTCGGACTAGCATGACAACTGCATTTATCGCCACGGGTTCAGCAACCGAAAGTCACAACATTCATTATGGCTATGTTTCCGGTGGTCGGCAAGGCAACGGACGTCGACCCTCGGTAATTCCAACGAGCGGCCTGCATGACTTACATGTGCATGAGGATCTCCGCAGAGCTTCCAAAGTGGAAATGCAAGTCATCACCTCCATCATGCTTGTAACTATACTCACCCCGTCACCATGAGGATTTCGGAACCAGAGCAGCTACCACATTGGAGCACCAATTCTGAAAGTCGCGGCCAGGGAAGCTCAAGCAGCAGGCATACAAGACAGAAGAAATATCAGCATGGTAACAATCCGAAGAACCAAGGCAACAACGTCCACAGTTGCCGCAAGGGGCAAAAGCAACTGCAATTATGGCCAACTGATGGTTCCTTCCCACGCCAAAACACTTATCATCACATACATGACAATCGTTACCATGATTGGTCATGATCGCTTGCTGAAAGCTTCTTTGCGCAGCATTATTGGGAACAGCATGGAATGCCTTCTGCTTGAACCCAATGTCGCCCGGAAAATCGCAGTAAACCCTTAAACCCTTGCGAGACATTCTTGAGCACCAGCAAACTCCAAACGCACGCCCCATGCCAGCTTGTTCTGCATGTGCCTGTGGCACAGAGCCATGCTGGAAAAGCAGCGACTGCAAAGTCCTTAGGTTGCAGGCAGTATAGCGCTCGGAACCGAGGAGTTTGGAGGGAAGTCAGCACTAGCAGCGTAGGCATTACGACTGGTTAACGTCTCTCTGTCATCAACCTATTCGCCGGCTTCAATGCCCCAATCAAACACCGAAAGCTCAGCTCAAGGCGCTCGTAGCCATGTTCGCCGCCCCCGGCGTGGCTGCTGCGAAGCAGCGGCAGGTGCTCGTCCCGCAGCTCTGAGAACTGCACCTCGAACTCCTTGCCTTCGGCCTTAGTTGCAACTTCCGACCTAATGGTTCAAGGGTAGACGGCTCGACTTTTTCGAACACCCTCAATGCTCAGGCCGGCATGCTGAACCCCTGCAGTGCCCTACAGAATGGAACGTGAACCATAAATCCCGGCCGCGCCAGCCCCAGCCGCCACGGCACTCGGAACTTCAGCAGTGGCACCACCGCATCTTCTGCCAACTCCAGGTCCTGAACCTCCAAGCCTCCGCGGAGGACCAAGTTTAGATAAGCTGAGAGATCCATCCAGCAAACTTCGACACAAACCCTAAACTATTCAACCCTTTTCTTGCATGAAGACTTGTGCAATCGCCTGAAGTGTTAAACCCTCGGCTGTTGTGGCAAAAGGACTTGTGCACTTGCCTGAGTGTCACCACAACATGCATCGCCCATCTCATGCTGTCCCTAAACCCTCGGCTCTACACCCTAGCCCCTTCCATTTTCGAGTCCGTTCCCTGAATCCTTCAACCGGTTCTCCGAATTGGCCCACCCGCTTTGGGATTTTGCTTTCCTGCATCTCTGGTCTCTAATACTGTACTACGAGTACTCCTGTACCACGGAGCCTGTCGCCCTCTACAGGGGCCAGGACGCACCACCCAACAGCCCACAGCCTTCTAAGAGCCTAGCCTATCTCCCTCGACAGCTCCCACCCCTAAAAAGTAGCATACTATTCAAGCCGCCGGGACATGGTTGAGGCGGGTCCCCCACCCACACTTTTGATCGTCGTCGGGCTAACAATGAGAATGCGCTTCGGCCTTCTAGCTCCTGCCGGGCCATGGTGAAGTACTGGGAGCTGGTGAGCTCCGCAGAACATGCCTGACAAGCCAGGGATGTCAAGGTGCCGCTCCACATCATCTCCTCCTGCCCTCCACTTGCCCTCAGGTTTTGCACTCTGTTCTGGACTAATCGTTGTATGAGCATACAGCATACAGCTAGTTGGTTACCTGCATTTTCTGCATGATGACAAGGCTACATCGTTGCTTTCCTCTTGTGTGTGTTCACTGTTGTCTTTGCATTTAGACCCTCAAAATTTGGCATATCGGGGGAGGCATCTCCCGGTTCGACCTTGGGCTACCTTAAGCCGGGTACCACCCACTGTCCACGTTGGCACTGGTACTGCTAGCATTGTTGGTCTCACTAGCTGCAGCTGCCGTCGTTGTCGTAGCTGAGGCTGCGTTGACGATGGCGACGGCGGCGCACTACTGGGCACCAACCAATCCTGGAACTGGTAGTGGTTAGGAGCCTTGTCCTTCTTCCGACCGAAAGTGCCCAAGCCCCGATGCCGTCCATCAGCAGCCAAGGTGCTAGTACGTCTATGTCGCTGCCCTTGGCTCACTCACCAAAGCCGTCGTAACAATGGTTATGTCGGGCCGTCCAGCAAACTTGAGAAGAGGACCACGAAAGCTAGGGGAGGCAAGGTCAGCCATCCGCCGAACTTTGTTGAGCACGGCTTTGCGATTACCAAGATCGCCATACTGCCAATTGCCATTTACGAGTAGGACTAGGAGCTTAGGCCGATCTTGCAGGATCGAGCGAACGTGTATTGCTTCGGCAAGCCACAAAAGCAGCCCTTCAGGTAGGGACGAAGGGGGGACCTGAAGGAGAATTATCCAATCCACCTTGTCCGCAATGCCCAGCGCTGAGGAGCCAAGAAGGACGACCTGAGGCCCACTCAGGGCAAGAATAAGAACCACCACCCCTCCCTCATGGACTCCAATCCTCTCTGCTGTAGCAGGAGTTGCTAGCCATCAAAGCAAAGCCGACGCCTCCAATCGCGGCCGGTCGTGCAGAGTCAGAGCGCCCAAGAGCTCAGAGGGCAGCTGAGACATGGGCGCACGGACGAGAATGCAGCCTCTGATGACGTGCTCTTAGGAAAAGTGGAAACCCGAAAGCAAGCGCCAGCTACACAAAAGCGGATCATGGGGTCAGAGTCTTGCCGGTTGGCTCATCTGCAGCCTGCTGGCCCGGATCTTCGGGGCCGGTCTTCTTCATCGCGCTTGGCTGTAAGGAGCACAAGACGCCAAAGTGATCCGAAGCAAACCTTGGATGCACCCGGCATGGAAGAGGCACCGGGACTGAAAAGCTACGAGGCTTAGGCTTCAACCCTGAATCCCCGGGCGGCTGACACCCGAACGCTACAAGCCAGCTTCTCTGCCAGAATCCCTTTTACATGTCCCACACTGCAGCAACTCTCTTTACTCTGCTAGGGGCTTGGTAGAACTCTCCCTGTCCGCTCTCGCTCTCTCTCTCTCTCTCTCTCTCTCCAGGGCATGGGGACGGGTCAGCGTCCCCGGGCCGAGTGGCCCACCCAATGTTTATTGGGAGTCTCTCTCTCTCTCTCTCTCTCGCTTGCTTGCCTTGGGGTGCTCTCTCCCTCTCTCTCTCTCTCTCTCTCTCTCTTCCTAACTATCTCTCTAGTTATCTATCTATGTGTCCATCTACCTACCTGTCTGCCTGTCTGTCTGTCTATCTAGCTATCTATATCCCTCTCTTTCTCTCTCTCTCTCTCTCTCTCTCTCTCTCTCTATCTATCTATTATCTATGTATCTATCTATCCATCTATCTATCTGTCTATCTATCTATCTATCTGTCTATCTGTTTATCTATCTGTCTATCTAGCTACCTATCTATTTATATATATATATATATCTCTCTCTCTCTCTCTCTCTACCGGGACAGGAGAGGCAAGGCGAACCCTACCCCTCCGCGCGCGCGCACGCTATTTATATATCTCTCTCTCTCTTTCTCTCTGGCTTGCTATGATTGCATGATCGCCTTGCCGGCTCAAGCAAACTGCCACTACTCTGTGGAGCTTTGGATTCTGCCGGTACCCCCGGTCCAGGCCAGAAAGGCTTCTGATTCTCATGCCAGGGAAACCATCGCTCGGGAGCTCCCCGCTGTCTGCCACCCACCTCTCCAAAACGCTAAAGCGTAGGATCGAATAAAATGATATACTATGATATACGGTAACATCCCACAATATACTATAAATATATACTATGGCATACTAGAGTGTACTATAATACACTGATGTCGAAATAAACATCACTGCTTGCATGTAGTCGCCATCACAGCACCACGAGTTCGCTTCAACATCACAGGGCCTGCGAGCAGCAGCTTGGGCATAGCTAGAGCAGTTGGCAGCAGCTGAGCTGCACCGGCAACAGGTCGCAGCTCGAACCCAGCAGTTAACGATGGAAGCAGAACTGCAATACATCTCACGAAGAAATAACGGGTCGCAGCGCAGTCATACTTAGCACCTTTGCCGTTTCGGTAAACGTCCTCCTCCTCCCCTCCTCCGAGTCGCAAGCATCGCAGTCTCGCAGGCGTCGTCCTTTGTCGTCTCTGCGCTCGTCATCTTTTATCGTCCACTTCCATATTATGTTCATCTGGCTCACTTGCCATTGCTGTCGTGGCACCGGAGCAACCAATAGCTGGCAGCGTACGTTTGCGTGATTTCTTGTTGTCCCACTGCCCCAAATTCACCCCTTCTCTTCTGAGGCGGCCTCGACCGGGAAGCTCCGGGTAAAAGTCAGCTCAGCATGACACCGCCACGGCCCGCTGTCGGAGTGGACATAAATCCGATCCTGCTTCCAAGGCGTCAGTATGCGTGAGCTCTGGAGGCCACACTATATTAAGACCTCCATCTGAGTCTCTTAGCTCCTGAAAGCTATAGCTCATTCGAAGAAGCCCCGGTCCAGTCGGCGGGGCTCCGGTGAACCACCCACGGCCGCGACCACACGCCGCGCGAGGGCATTCCTAGAGGTTCGGATTTGGGTGCCTTAGGGGGTCCAGACTCATGTTCGACAGAATTGCAGGTCAGCGGTGCTGAGAAGCAGAATTGTGGAAAGATGATTCCAAGAGAAGATTAGCCTGTCTCAGAACTTCTCTCTGGCGTAGCGCTTTGGCCCCATACTGCTGGGGCAAGAACTTCTATGCGTTCGGGGGCAAGGTTCAAGTCGTGGGGTCTTGGTTTCCGTGAAAGCAGTTAAACGGAGCACCAAAGCACTGTGCAGGATCGAAGGTGTGTCCCGGCATGTCGGGATTGGCTTCCAACCAAACATCGGCGAAACTTGTCCTGCCGGGCAGCAACATTGGTCCAAAGCCAACTCCGTATAGATAGACAGATATACTCGTAGATGGTATCCAAAGAGGTATATGGGGTTGCATGATACCTCTTCATCTGCGCACGCGCACACAAGCGAGTTTGTGCTTGTGTGTGTGTGTGAGTGTGTGAGTGTGAGAGTGTGTGTGAGTGTGAATGTGAGGGTGAGCGCGCGCGCGAGCGTGAGCGTGAGCGTGGGTGTGGGTGTGGATGTGTGGATGTGCGGCGTGCATGTGTCCGTCTCTGTCTGTGTCTGTGTGTCTGT